CTCCAGTCCGACTCAGACGCCAGCAAGGTGGAGGTGGAGTATTGGTTTGGGCTGGTATCATCAAAGATGAGCTTGTGGGGCCTTTTCAGGTTGAGGATGGAGTCAAGCTCAACTCCCAGTCCTACTGCCAGTTCCTGGAAGACACCTTCTTCAAGCAGTGGTACAGGAAGAAGTCTGCATCCTTCAAGAAAACATGATTTTCATGCAGGACAATGCTCCATCACACGCGTCCAAGTACTCCACAGCGTGGCTGGCAAGAAAGGGTATAAAAGAAGAAAATCTAATGACATGGCCTCCTTGTTCACCTGATCTGAACCCCATTGAGAACCTGTGGTCCATCATCAAATGTGAGATTTACAAGGAGGGAAAACAGTACACCTCTCTGAACAGTGTCTGGGAGGCTGTGGCTGCTGCTGCACGCAATGTTGATGGTGAACAGATCAAAACACTGACAGAATCCATGGATGGCAGGCTTTTGAGTGTCCTTGCAAAGAAAGGTGGCTATATTGGTTACTGATTTGTTTTTGTTTTGTTTTTGAATGTCAGAAATGTATATTTGTGAATGTTGACATGTTATATTGGTTTCACTGGTAATAATAAATAATTGAAATGGGTATATATTTGTTTTTTGTTAAGTTGCCTAATAATTATGCACAGTAATAGTCACCTGCACACACAGATATCCCCCTAACATAGCTAAAACTAAAACAAACTAAAAACTACTTCCAAAAATATTCAGCTTTGATATTAATGAGTTTTTTGGGTTCATTGAGAACATGGTTGTTGTTCAATAATAAAATTAATCCTCAAAAATACAACTTGCCTAATAATTCTGCACTCCCTGTATGTTGAATGATATTTGCATAATAAAGATTAGTGATATTTGGAAAATTAAGCCCTCCCTGGGACAATTTTTTAGATAAAATTTTTTGACTGATTCTAGGCTTTTTATTCTTCCAAATAAAATTATTAATTGAGGATTGAATCGTTGCTAACCAAGGTTTAGGGATTTTAAGTGGGACCATAGAAAATAAGTACAACCATTTGGGTAGAATATAAGAGTTTATAATATTAATTTTGCCTGTCCACAATGTTTCTAAATTTTTCCATTTTCTTAATTTTTGATTCATGTCTTTCATTAAAATCATAACATTCCTCTCCATTATGTGCGAGACATTAGCAGGAAAAATAAGACCCAGATAGTTTATTTCCCTGTTGGTCCAAATAAATTCAAATTTTTGGGATAACCTTTCAACCTAACCCGAAGACAAATTAATGGTTAAAGCAGTAGATTTTGAAATGTTTAACTTAAAATTAGAAATTTTTGAATATTTATCAATTTCAACCATTAATGCCTCAAGTGACTCTTCCGGGGATGTAAGGGTAACCAAAGCATCATCAGCATATAGTGCAATTTTAGTATCTTTTGATTTCGTGGGGACCCCCTTTATTAGTTGATTGTTTCTAATATTAACAGCAAGGGGTTCAAGAGACATGATATAGAGGAGGGGTGCCTTACTCCATTTTTGAGGTCGAACCAGCCCGCAGTAATATTAGGGCCCACAGTTCTTGCTGAAGGAATAGAGTACAAAACTAAAATTGCAGTGTATATCCAACCTTTAAAGCCATAGGCCTTAAGGAGTTCACTTAAGTAGCTCCACCCGACCCTGTCAAACGCTTTTTCGGCGTCTAAAGACAGGGCCAGGAGGGGCACAGTATGAACTTTGGCAAAACTGATAATATCAGTCAACTTTCGGGTGTTATTTGATGCCCAACTACCAGGGATAAACACTTTTTGATCCGAGTGAATAAGTTTAGTTATAATAGTTCATATTCTCTCGGCAATAATAGCTGAATATATTTTCATGTCTACATTAATTAGTGGAATCGGTCTGTAGTTTCTCGGGTCAGTACTATCTTTATCTTGTTTCAAAATAGGGATAATATTTGATTGTAATAGTTCCTTTGGAATCGCCTTATTTTCTGCAGCTTGATTGAACATTTCTGTTAGGGGATTTAATAGCTGTGCTTCATGTATTTATAATCTAAATTTGTAAAGCCATCAGGGCCAGGGGTTTTATTTGTAGCTAGTCTATCAATTTGAGATTGAACTTCATCAGAGGAAATTTTTTATTTAAGATAGACAAATCTTGGGGAGAAATTTTCGGAATTAATGAACTAGATAAATATTTTTTAATGTCCGTTGTTTCTGGTGACAATTTTAGATTGTATAAATCTTGATAAAACTGGTTAAATTTTTGTCCAATTTGAGATGGAGTGGAATAGATGGTTTGATCAACCACCAATTTTTCTACCCTATTTTTGGCATAGTGATTTCGTAATCTCTTAGTTAAATTTTTACTAGCTCTATTGCCTGTAAAATAGTTGCTAAGCTTTAATTTATTTATATTTGTCTTAATTTTTTCCTCTTCTTTTAAATTAATTTGTTTTCTCAACTCTTTTAAACAAGTTCTCAACTCAGGAGTGGAATGCTGTTTATTTAAATTTGAGCATGAATACAATTCAATATATAGGTCAGGCAAATTTTTACCAAGTTTTTTCTTAAAAATATGACCTAATATAATTATATAGCCCCTCATAACAGATTTATGAGTACACCAGTTTATCAAAGGAGAAGTATCTATCGGGTTATTTTCTGCCCAAAAATATTCCAATAACTTGGTCAGTTCCTCTCTATTATTATTATACCTAATAAGAGCATCATTCAATCTCCAGGTATTACAAAAGAGAGGGGGAGAATTGCCAAGATCAAATAAAACAAAACTATGGTCTGACCATGGGTTTTCCTTAATATTAAAAGATCTAAAAAGCGAGATTGTGCTGGCATTTGTTAAACAGAAATCAATCAGTGAGTAAGTGCCATAGACCCCAGATAAGTGAGAAAAATCTTTTTTTAAAGGATGGAATATTCTCCATATGTCATAAATATTATATTGATTACAGATATTATTTAACTTTTTAGCCTGCTTCATAGATCTTTTGTTGTTGACAGATTAAGCTAAAGTGGTTCGATCTAAATTGTGATCACTAACACAATTGAAATCACCAGCAATGATCAAATAACCCTTATTGATCTCATCAACTTTATCCATTATCAATGAAAACTTAATCATTGGATCAACATTAGGAAGATATACATTGACCAAAGTAAAAATCTTATCATCAATCCTACAGACCAAAATAATATACCTAGCTTCTAAATCTAGTTCCAAGTGTAGAATATCAAGCTTAAGATCTTTATTAAAAATAATTGCTACCCCCCTTTTTTTTTTATCTATTAGTGAGGCCTGGATAATAGTTGGAAATTTATCTCCGGCCCATCTTTGTCTAGTATCTTTAAGCCAATGCGTTTCTTGTAGAAAAGCTACCTGTATGTTTTGTTCCATCAAAGAATTATATAATATATATATTTTCTTATTGGTATTAAGCCCCTGAACATTTAAAGATAGAAACTTCAGCATTTAGATACATCATAAGCAATATCTATAGAATTCCTGCTCAAAAAAAATAAAATAAAAACACTCAAAAGAAAAAGACCCACAACCTACACATATATCCTTGGACTCCAAAGTAGTCCATCACCTCCATTCATCCAACTATTAGGTAAAAACCTAATACTATTGAAATCATTGAAAGCCATATAGGCACAATGAAGAAAGAGTAGTTAAACTACACAAGAGGGGAAACCCTGCTCCATGACTGAGTAAGGAGCATACCCCTAAAAAGGCTCTCCCCCTCTCTTGATATATATCTGTCCTAAAAAAAAAAAAAAAATGATAACAAAAGATGTCTGAATTGGATTGAAATTTACAAAACCCACCCCAACATTAAACATATATATTGAGTAATATTTAAATATACTAGTGAAATAGTGCACTGTAAAATATTTAATTTTACCATATGTCTTGGGAAATACCAATATATATAGAATTAAGAATTACATTTAACCTGTTACTTAAACCTCTTAGTTTTTACCACATTACCTTTAGAAATACCTTCGTTGCACTTAGTCATACAAAACATAAACTTCAAAAACAATAAATATAATATAGCTCTATTAAGTGTTAGTTATTTATATATTAATAGGGAGCTGCCATTATGTGAGATTTTGTCACAATATCTTTTAGGAAAAAAAAAAAAAGTAAACTCGTAGGAGCCACGCTAATTACAATTAAGTATTACATTTTCTATGTATTGCTTGCCTACAGGAACTTTATCTCTTTCTTATCAAGAATACATTAGTAACGTTAAATATTGCATTACATGGCTCCAACAACAGTGCATATATTGTGGTCCTATCAAATAAAATTTACATTTAATAGTGAAGAGCTCTTTAGAGCAAAGATAAGTGTATATTAATTTATTTTGTGGTGTTAATATACAGTGGAGGAAAAAAGGAAAAAAAAAATAGTAATAATAATCATAAAAAAAAAAAAAATGGCAATATTCAGTCAAACCCCCTATGGCATTGAGTTGTATGTCTAAAAAAACAATTTGTTTCTTTTGAGCCAGTCTATCAGGCTCGCATTATTATCAAATATTTCTCTTTTCCCTTCATATGAGAAGCTTAGCCTTAAAGGGAAAAGCCATTTATATTTTATATTATGGCTTCTAAGAGATAGAGTAGCAAGGCTAAATACTTTTCTTTTGGCTCTGGTTTCAAAGAACAGATCTTGAAATACTTTAACTTTCTGAAAAGAGCCTACAGAGATTAAATTAGTTCTTGAAGCTTTCATAGCCTCTTTAAAGTCAAATGAGAAAAAACATGCGATAATATCACGAGAGGAGTCATTTTGAATAGCTTGTGGTTTAAATACCCTATGACACCTTTCTAGTAACGGGTCAGGAGAGTTCAAAGGAACTCCCAAAACAGAAAAATACTCCATCAGGGTTTGCTTTATATCTTCGTGTCTACCATTTTCTGGAATGTCTCTGAAGCGTAAATTTTTTCGCCTGGCTCGATCTTCTAAATTGCATACTTTAATTTGTAAATCAAAAATGTCCCGGTGTGCCTTTTGACAGTCATCTGTTAAGTTTTTAACTTGGAAATCAACTTCTTTTAGTTGGTCTTCAAATCTTTCAATTTTTGCAGCAAGTACATTTATTTCCAGTTTTATGTCAGATTTAATTTCTACAGCAGTTGAGGCCAATTTGGCTTTTATCTCGTCCAGATTGGCCTTAAGACTAGTACGAAACAGAGAAATCGTTATCGGGTCCTTATCAGGGTTTTTTATGCCATCTGACTCTGTATTTTCCATACTAAGATCCATATCATTTAATTTCTGTTTAGTGATCTTATGTTGCTGTGGAGAAAAATAAGTTGTTAGAGATTTGTCCTGGAAGGAGTCTTTTTTTATCTTTCCTCGTTGAGGGTTTGATTGCATGAGATTTTTTCAAAGCCATATTTTAGCCGTTTCACAATGTATAGTCAAACGATATTTACATGGCAGACCTCTACCAATTGCCCTCTATATGAGTTTATTTTTTAAGAGGCTTCTGTTTTTACTGCATTTTTCACTTTTCTTTTCACTTTTATTTTATATCTTATTACTTCCCTTCTTCTTAATGCTCTTTTCCTTTCTCATTTAGAGCCTTTTTTCAACAATAAATAAATTCAGTCTGAATTTCTTTATCCTCCTTTTTTATGGGATCAGACGAAATATCAATGTTCTGGTGTGCCAATTATATATGAGCGATAATATAGTCTAAATGTCTGCCAGGGATAGATTATAACCAATCAATTTGACCAAAAAAAAAAAAAAAAGATTTTTACTTCACCATATATTTGCCGACTTGGCGTGTTTGTTGTTATTCCAGACCACCAAAGAATTGGGGATTAATATCTTCGGAGCATGGCGAACCAATATTCAATATTTTTATTTTTTTTGCCGTCGATCTATCCTTTTGATGGGGGTGAAAGCAGCTCATTAGCCCGCCAACACGAGGAGAGAGAGAAGCCTTTCAGGAGCAGCTACCTCGGTAGATCATGGCGGGTTGCCCCTCCTTCTCCGTCATCACGGCGCCCGCACGCCTGCACGTCCGCACGTCATAACGCCCGGGGTTTAGATTCAGCCTATAGCTTAGGGAAGTGAGGCATGGGGAGCAGCCTATAGATTAGGGAAATGAGGCATGGGGGCAACCTATAGATTAGGGAAGTGAGGCATGGGGTCAGCCTATAAATTCTGGAAGTGAGGCATGGGGGGGCAGCCTATAGATTAGGGAAGTGAGGCATGTGGGGGCAGCCTATAGGTTCAGCCTAAAGATTAGGGAAGTGAGGCATGGGGGCAGCCTATAGATTAGGGAAGTGAGGCATGGGGGACAGACTATAGATTAGGGAAGTGAGGCATGGGGAGCAGCCGATAAATTAGGGAAGTGAGACATGGGGGGCAGCCTATAGATTAGGGAAGTGATACATCCTAAATGAAGAGTCAGAAAGGAGCAAGAAGGTAAAGTAAGAGAAGGAGCAGAAAGGAGAAGGAACAGAAATGAACAGGAAGGGTCTGCAAGGAGCAGGGTCTGCAAGGAGCAGGGGCAGAAAGGAGCAGGAAATATCTGCAAGGGGCAGAAAGGGTCTGCAAAGAGAAGAAAGGGTCTGCAAAGAGCAGAAAGGGACAGAAGGCGCACAAAGGTAAAGGAGCAGAAAGAATCAGATGGAGCACAAAGGAAAAGTAGAAGAAGGAGCAGAAAGGGAGAGCAAGGAGCACAAAGGTAAAGTAGAAGAAGGAGCAGAA